ATCAGTAGTGTCTTCAGTGCCGTCGCTGTCACTGTCGAGTAAATCAATAATCTCTTGTGTGGTCTCATTGTCCACCACTTGTGTCTCATTAGTTCCGGCAATCATTAGAGACCGCTTTTTGATGGCATTGTCTTCACAGAAACCTTAATTTAATTAAAATAAATAATACATAAAAATAATTACTTAAAATCAATACTAAATTTACCGTTACTTTGGCTGCTGTTATGTACGACTGTTATTGGCGTAAAGTCATTAAGAATACCAGCGGTGATGTGTCCGGCCATCTGTACGGCCGACTGTTGGTCACCGGACGCGTGCAACTGATCCACAGGATTCCGGTGAAACATACCGTTGTGTGTCTGTAAACCATGTTTTGTGGTAAATGTTTTGCGGCATTCGAGGCACAGATAGACTTCGGGATCACTTGCAGCTGCCGTGGCTTGAGATGTGCTGTTTGTGTCCAATGAATTACGCGTGGGTTTGTTCAACGGCTGAGTTATTAACGAGTTTTGTAGCCACAGATCTGCCGTTTGATTAACAGTGACGGACGCACTCCTTAAGTGGTTGACAGTAGCCGTTGGAACCATTGGAGTGACTGGTGTTGCTGTCGTGTCTTCGCTGTCGCTGTCGTCCAGTATATCAATGATCTCCTCTTTGGCTTTTAACTGATTATCGGCCGCTTGTGTCCCGTCGTCACCAATCGGTGGCAGGACTTCGAGGCCATTGTCTGCTAAACAAATGGCAATCAAAATGTGATTAAAATATTAAATGAACTGAAAATTATTTCCGGTTAAATACCGGAAACTATTGGATAAGTGTTTCGTTTAACACTTTCGGTGGGATTCAAGTCAATGGACACAACATTGGGTTCAATGATATGATCGCCGGTTTCGGAGCCATATGTAGCCAACACTCGGTTAGAGGTTTGGCCGACAGTACCCGCCGTTAGCATTGATTGCAGTAATAATGACTGCGAGGTCTTCGCCACAATCGGATCCGTATTGCCATTGATTTTGAGGACTTGTTTGTCACCTATTTTTATGGAAATAATTAATTGTTTTATAATTAGACATAAAATGTGTTACAATTAATAGAGTAAACAATAGTTATAATTATAATTGTAATACAAGTAGCGGTTTATCTACATATCAGTCGATAAATTAGGGTAAACTGTAGACCAATACCTGATTTAGCGTTGATTTGATTGTTGTCAACATTTTGTGTCTTTTTCAACGAGTGATAAATTTTCTCGTATTTAATAAAATCGTGAAATATTTCAATATTTTGATTACATTTACAATTATTTATCAAAACCAATGATTTTTGTCTAATTATTGCCAAACAGTCCGACAATTGTCTCTCAAATGACAACTCTTTGTGAAGTCTTTGGTTGTCTTCGCGCAACTCATCCATCAAATCATTGATAAGTATTTCAGACATTAAAAAATATAATTAAAACTAATTGTAATTAAAATAAAACATAAATAATAATACGTGTAAATCACATGTTTATTATCAGTTTGTGATTACTGTATGTAAACACTAAATAATACTAATATTGAGTCCATAGAAAACGTCTGAAAATTCAAGTAATCTTTAATACCCTTTGATATGAAAACTCTATACAAAACAATACCATTTGTTTGGCATAAAAATACTCTAAACCCTAACGTTATTTACAAACACAAGTCAATGCACTGAAACTCCTATTGAATGAAAAAAAAGTTTTATAACACTTTTTATTGATTTTCAAACTTTAAGTTTCATTTAATACAAAATTAAATATTATATTATGAATAAATAAATTAATGCTAGATTAATTATTATAATATATAACCTAGATAACCCGTTTAATAGTATAAAATTACCCGAATACACTAATACAAATCAAATTAACCATGATTATTGTTAATAAAAATACTAGTCTATAGTCTATACCGTCGGCCGCCCAATACGGGCCGCCAGACAGCGTTTGATGTGTGACTTGAGATTCTTAGCGTCAGTATAGCCTCTGGTATTGCAGCCGACGTACGGACACCGGTATGGCTTCGGCCGTTTGGGATCCGTTGGCGGGAACACCGGTGCCATTGAATGCACTTTTTCCATGTGTTTCTTCAGATTCTGTATCGACGCGAACGTACGGTCGCAGCCGACGGACTGACACCGATGCGCGTCGGCCGCCATTGGGACGGATGGCTGCGGCCGGACAGCTGTGGCCGACGTTGACGTGTGGAACCGCTGGATGTGTGTGTTTAAGTAGTCGGTGGACTGAAAACGGCGGCCGCACCGATCGTACGGACACGGATAGGATTTGATCGCCGGCTGCGCCGCCGCTGGAGTTACAGCCGGTGGTCGCCACTGTCTGATCCGGTGGTGATAGCTGTGGTGGACTTGTTTGTGGCCGATGTTTGGGTACCGATAGCCGCGTGTGTTGTGCTGACGCGCCGGAGCGGTGGACTGGTATCGAGTGGTCGGATAGTGATGGACAGTAGCCGTTGGAACCGTTCGAGTGACTGGTATTGTGGCCACCTTTTGAGTCACTGCTGTTGCGATCATGTCTTCGTTGTCACTGTCTTCGCTGTCGTCCGGTATATCAATAATCTCTTGTTTCATCCATTTGTCGGTCTCTTGTGTCTCGTCGTGCTCTTCGACGCCATTGTCTGCTGAAGAATGAGTTCAAAATTGAATTAATATTCATTAAAATGTAAGTTATTTGTCGTTAAATACCGGAAACTATTGGATAAGTGTTTTGTTGAACACTTTGCCCGTTATTCAAGTCAATGGACACTACATTGGGTTCAATGAGATCGCCGTTAGGTTCTTCTCCGCTATCGGTGGCCAACAATTGGCCGCAAGTCTGGCCATTATTGACCGTCAATTGTATGGATGATATGTTACACAACTGGCGGCCAACAGATGGTGTCTTTGCGGTGATGAATATCGGTTCGTTTGATTTACCACTCGTTATAATCACATTATCTTAATTGACAGACAATTTACAATACAATTAAATTACTTAACACTCAATATAAAGAGGTTTGTTATTGATATTTATATTCCAAGCGGTGGTTAATGCCTGGAAATTAGGGTAAATATGTAAATCAATACCTGTTTTATCGTTGGTTAGGATTGTGTCCACATTTTGATTGCCTTTCAACGAGTGATACCTTTTCTCGTATTTAATCAAATCGTGAAATATATCAATATTTTGATTGCATTTACAATTGTTTATCAAATCCAATGAGTTTTGTCTGATTTTTGCCAAACATTCAGACAATTGTCGCTCAAATGACAACTCTTTGCGAAGTCTTTGGTTTTCTTCGCGCAACTCATCCATCAAATCGTCGGCCAGTGTTTCATAAGTATATTTTCATGTCATTTACCACTCATTGAAATCATATATTAATTAAATTGCAATTAAAACTAAATTAAAACTTTGTTTTCATTTGTTTTGTAAACACTTTTTGTTGTCAATTGACTCAAAACAACTCATATATAACTCCATATAAAACGTATGGGAAATGCGACAAAACATTTAACACCCGTTTTGTGTCAAAACTCTATTAAACTTAATTAAAACTAAATTATTTTATTGTCAAAAGTTTGTCATTAATAAAAAAAGTAATTTATCACAAATTAATAAAATTTATAGAAAAAAATGACTCAAAAAATATAATGTATTTGCGGTGAAAATAATTACATTTGTTAATACTTTGTTGAATTTGTTGAATAATACTACGGTATTAATAAATTTAGTTATAATAGTGTTATTCAACAAAGTATTTTATAAAGTTATAAATCATATACAGTATGAACTCGTAGTGAAAAGTATTAAAATTAATTTTATAAAAATGTATCAAAAATGTGTGGGAGAGTCAGTGACTGTAAGTGAGTGAGTGAGTGAGTGAGTGAGTGAGTGAGAGAGAGA